TATAAAACTAAGAGCAACGTGACCCCCAGATGAACATAAAGTTTAGTTCTTGTTGACTCTGTGGAGGTCACAGTGGAGGTCGAGGCAGTAGAATAAAGTTCAGTCGTTGTTTCACAGCTTTCAGCAGCATCATCGTATAAAACCTGTTAAAGACGCATCCATGTCCCCATAAACATGAACAATACTTCTCTTACCCGCTGGACGTCACAGTTCGGGTTCGGGCAGTGGGTCGGCCTGCAGATGGACACGTCGCCGTGGCAACGGCAGTCCAGACACGACTCGGGTCTCCAGGACGTGTTGTTCTGTTGACACACAGACCACAACAGAAACATTAGCAGGTGAGTCACTCTGATCGGGTTCATCATCGTCGTCGGATCAGAACGCCCACGTGTCACGTTAACGGCCGCGGGGGTGACAGCTAACACCTTGATGAGACTGAAGGGAAACAACCGTGTCAGCTGCTGCACCTGTCGGACTGCAGACGTGCAGGTTGAAGGTCGTGAACCGCTGCTGTTGTTTCTTCTGCTGACGGCCAGTGAACTCTACAGTAGAAATAAATGTAATAAATGCAGCTGAACTGTGTTGATTCTGAGCCACATAGAAGTCTGAGTCCCACCAGAAAACAAACAAACAAAATCTCTACATTTTATAATCTTTTTTTAAAAAGTACGTATGTTTGTTTTTGTGTTTTTATTCATAAAGTCACGTTTCTTCTGTCAAATATCAGCAAATGTTTCTAAAACAACATTCAAGTTATTATTGTTGGTGTGATTTTGCTAAATATGTTTAATTGAACCAAACTGAAACAGCACAGCGCGGCGCTGGAGGTTTGCAATCTATGCAATAAAAAAGTGCATTTTTCTAAACAGGAAACCAGACATTCATTCATTTTTAAGCTCATCAGCCTTGTTTCCTCTTTTGTGTCTTGACAGCAGCATTTCTGGAGGGAATAACTGATCAGCAGAACCACCACCACAAATACTGAAATAATAACCAGCTGCAGCAGGAAGCAGAGGCCAGGACAGAAAGCTTTAGAGGTTCTGCAGCAGCACAAAGACACCGTGGTGCCACACTTTGAACTCTGCTGCTCTGTACTTAGAGCTGCTGCTGGTTCCTGCTGCAGCTGGACCCACTCTGAGGCTGATTACAAGCCTCCAGCGTCTCGGCCCGGCAGCCGGAGCTCGGCTCGGTCTGCGGCCTGCAGCTTCTGTCTTACGGCTCGCCAGAGCGCGAACCCAATCAATATTCTGAAGCCTGCATACGCTCAGACACATCATCTCTCGACCCGTAAATCTGATGGAGCTGAAAGATTAATAGGCGGGCCGTGACGGGAACATCCAGCGTCCAGCAGAAAGCCTCCACCACAGGCTCGCTGTTTTTAGGTATGCGGATGGAAAATGGAACAGGTTTTAATCAGGAAAGATCAAATATGCAGGTATGAGGCGGTCTGGCTGCAAAGTCCAGCTAATAAAGATGTGCAGGAAACTTTCAGACGCTCAGAGACGGAGGAGTTCTTAGACTGAGGAGACGAGCTGCAGGTAGAACAGATCATCTCTAGTCATTCATGTGACGGTGTTTTCTGCAGCAAATCTGGTTTTGTGTCTCAGTTTAGCTTCTAGTTGCATTGAAACATCTTTTAATTACTGTAGAGGCAGAAAACCAGAGTGAAGACCTGAATCTGGGCTTTTTCTTCTTTTTTCTGATCATTTATTCAACAAAAATCTATAAAGTCAAGTCAGTTTATGTAGAAAGCACATTTTAAAAGCAACATGAGTTGAACCAAAGTGCTGCACGGTGAAGAAATGAAATAAGAAAACAACACAATGATTAAAAGACGAGAGTAAATAAAATGAATAAACACAGTAAATCGTATTAATTTACATGTTGACTCTCAAATAAATAAAGGCCAAAACATTAAAACATCTGTATATTTATAAATGATCATTTACTGTTTTGCAATGTTTAAGCAGAAATGACCTTTTTAAAAAAAATTTATTAAAAATTTTAAAAAGGAGAAAGAAATGTCTGTTGTTTTTGAAATAAAAAGAATACTAACAGTAACGAGTAAAAAATAATAAGTATGTTTTACATTTTTTTTCTACAGATCATCCACGTTTTGTTAAATTACAGATCTTATTGAGTAAAATCACAAAAAAAAAATTTTACATGTAAACTATGAGAAAAAAGTTCAGAACTATAAAATAAAAAAAACTTAAAATTAGTATTTTTTATAAATATTAATTGTTTTACATTTGACCGTAAATTTCCATGTTTTTTACAGCCATGAACAATAAATATCAGTATTTTAGAGATATTTGTTGTTCATGGAAAGACGGCTTTAAAACAATAGAAATTAGCTGTAATTGTACAAATTTAGCTTTTGTTAAATTGCAGATCATATCTGGTTAAATCATAATCAACACATTCATTTTTTTGTGCTTTATTGTGTTTATATTCACAAAAATATATTTAAAAAAAATATAAAATTTTACAGATATTTGACGTGATCTCCACAGTTTGTTTGTTATTTATTATTATTTTTGTTAATTCACAGAAATTCCTCTCTGCAGAAAAAAATAATCATGATGACATAAATTCAAGTTCATTTCTCGTCTTTGTCTTTTCACTAAAATAAAACACATTGAACTTCTCTTCATGCCATCTGTAAGTATGGAATCAACAGATTTTCTCAGGTTTCACCTTTAGCTTTAGTGTGAGGTTGAACCTGAGCTCATGTTCAGACCAGATGGTGGAATTATCTGAACTTGAAGCTCATGTTTGGTGCAGCTCAGGAACATTTCTCCACATGTTTCTGGGTTTATTCAAACATGTAAACCTGCTGGAAGCTTAGAGTCCAGTAGCTTCAATTAAATATATCTCCAAAAATGTCAAACTGCTCCTTGAAGAAGGTAATTTAAGGGACAAATTAAGAATTAAACAGGTTCATTTGCATCATCTCTGCATAAATCAGTCCGGTTGGTTCTCAGAGTGCCTCAGTCCGACATCTACTGCATCGTGGAAGGTCCTCGCCTTCCTGCCGAGCTGCAGCGCTACACGTCTGATCGGCCGCCACACATTCGCCCTCGCTCAAACCTCATTACACATCTGGCCGCAGCTGTGCAGAGACGCACCAGCTCGCAATTAAACACATGTACAGGAGCACATAAATAGCCACGCGACGGGGAAGGCATTAACCGGCGCGCTCTGTGCAGCGCGTTATTCCCCTCCACTGGCTGCGCTGCTGATTAAATTTTCATTTTCTGCCTCTGACTTTCAGCACGACCTACAACAGCAGAACATCTCGCCGTGACTTCGCTTTCTGCTGCGATTTCACTTAATTAGCAGGCGCTCGTTGAGGCTACCTAATAGCTTTAGCTACGTTGGGGCCTAGCGTCTGCGCGACTTTCATTCGTACCACAAACAATATTCAGGCAATGTATTATCTCACACACTTATTAAAGTTTTCTACTGTTTTATGGAGTGTATTTATTGCAGATGCTAATTAGCTGCTAGCTAACTCCAGTGCAGTTACTTTAAACTGCAAAAATAAACTAAAATAACTCACTTTAGGGCCCAAAAATATAGATTTTTTCTTTTGTTGAAGCACTGCTGAAGCTACTTTACATGAAAAACAGGGTTTCATGTTTTCTACTGTTTTATGAAGTGTGTTTATTGCAGATGCTAATTAGCTGCTAACTAACGCCTGTGCGATTACGTTAAACTGTGCTCTTTACCTGCAAAAGTAAACTGAAATAACTCACTTTAGGGCCCAACAATATAGATGTTTGTTGTTGTTAAAGCACTGCTGAAGCTACTTTACTTTAAAAACACAGGGTTTCATGTTTTCTGCTGTTTTATGAAGTGTGTTTATTACTCTGTGGTTGTTCTCTTTTTCAGGGAAAACAGATGCTAATTAGCTGCGAGCTAACTCCGGTGTGATTACGTTTAACTTTCCCTGCAAAAATAAAATTAACTGCCTTCAAGGCCAAAGCACAAAAAGTTTTGGAAGCACTGATGAAGCTGTTTGACCATAAANCCAGAAAATATCTGTAAAATATTAATATTTAGTGGATTTAAATGCAGCAAAAACTGTGTAATTTAATGGGCAAACGTTGTACAAGCTACTTTTTTTTTATTATTTTAAATACATATTTTTCATCAGCTTAATTTGAATAGTTAGCATGTAAATTAAGTTGTTTTTCTGTGATTTTTATTTTTATTTCTTTTTTTATATTATCTACAAAAATGTTGAGCTTTTACAATTAAATGCTGCAAAAGAACAAATGATCATTTATTATAAAAGTACAGATTTCTCATGTGGACATTATTTATAGCTTTTAGGGGTTCGCTTCTACATTTATGTGTTTTTCTTTGGGCTTACTAGCCCAAATATAAGATATAAACACTACATTTGAGACTAAAACGACTTAAAACTAGTGAAATTATCAGTCCAAGTACATTTTTCTTGATAAGAAATCTTGAAATAAGATTTTTAAAGCTCAATGTAAGATTGTTCTGTAAAATCAAGGACTGAAAATGAGCAAATAACTTTTAAAACAAGCCAAATTATCGATTGTGTCTAAAAATAGGATTTTAAATCTTGGCCAGTCCCATTTTATTTGCAGTGTATCAGCTGATATTTACCAAAACAGAAAAAAAAACTGTAAAAATTACTTTTTTTCACTTCGTAATGCATTTATGAGTCATTTCTCTTTTAAATAACAGCCATCTGTGAAACATTTAGAATTCTGCTGATTTAAATAAAGTAAATGAAATTTTATTTAAATATCAAATGCTGCAAATGAACAAACCAGTGTTTATAAAGATGCAGATGTTTGAAATGTTCTGTTGTTCTGCTGTTTTCTCACAGTTAACTATAAATTCAGCCTTTTTTCTGTGATTTTACTAGTTAATAAAAAAAAAGAAAATAATGTTTTTAACAGTATTAATAGCACTAATACATATAAAACTAAGAGCAACGTGACCCCCAGATGAACATAAAGTTTAGTTCTTGTTGACTCTGTGGAGGTCACAGTGGAGGTCGAGGCAGTAGAATAAAGTTCAGTCGTTGTTTCACAGCTTTCAGCAGCATCATCGTATAAAACCTGTTAAAGACGCATCCATGTCCCCATAAACATGAACAATACTTCTCTTACCCGCTGGACGTCACAGTTCGGGTTCGGGCAGTGGGTCGGCCTGCAGATGGACACGTCGCCGTGGCAACGGCAGTCCAGACACGACTCGGGTCTCCAGGACGTGTTGTTCTGTTGACACACAGACCACAACAGAAACATTAGCAGGTGAGTCACTCTGATCGGGTTCATCATCGTCGTCGGATCAGAACGCCCACGTGTCACGTTAACGGCCGCGGGGGTGACAGCTAACACCTTGATGAGACTGAAGGGAAACAACCGTGTCAGCTGCTGCACCTGTCGGACTGCAGACGTGCAGGTTGAAGGTCGTGAACCACTGCTGTTGTTTCTTCTGCTGACAACCAGTGAACTCTACAGTAGAAATAAATGTAATAAATGCAGCTGAACTGTGTTGATTCTGAGCCACATAGACGTCTGAGTCCCACCAGAAAACAAACAAACACAATCTCTACATTTTATAATCTTTTTTTAAAAAGTACGTATGTTTGTTTTTGTGTTTTTATTCATAAAGTCACGTTTCTTCTGTCAAATATCAGCAAATGTTTCTAAAACAACATTCAAGTTATTATTGTTGGTGTGATTTTGCTAAATATGTTTAATTGAACCAAACTGAAACAGCACAGCGCGGCGCTGGAGGTTTGCAATCTATGCAATAAAAAAGTGCATTTTTCTAAACAGGAAACCAGACATTCATTCATTTTTAAGCTCATCAGCCTTGTTTCCTCTTTTGTGTCTTGACAGCAGCATTTCTGGAGGGAATAACTGATCAGCAGAACCACCACCACAAATACTGAAATAATAACCAGCTGCAGCAGGAAGCAGAGGCCAGGACAGAAAGCTTTAGAGGTTCTGCAGCAGCACAAAGACACCGTGGTGCCACACTTTGAACTCTGCTGCTCTGTACTTAGAGCTGCTGCTGGTTCCTGCTGCAGCTGGACCCACTCTGAGGCTGATTACAAGCCTCCAGCGTCTCGGCCCGGCAGCCGGAGCTCGGCTCGGTCTGCGGCCTGCAGCTTCTGTCTTACGGCTCGCCAGAGCGCGAACCCAATCAATATTCTGAAGCCTGCATACGCTCAGACACATCATCTCTCGACCCGTAAATCTGATGGAGCTGAAAGATTAATAGGCGGGCCGTGACGGGAACATCCAGCGTCCAGCAGAAAGCCTCCACCACAGGCTCGCTGTTTTTAGGTATGCGGATGGAAAATGGAACAGGTTTTAATCAGGAAAGATCAAATATGCAGGTATGAGGCGGTCTGGCTGCAAAGTCCAGCTAATAAAGATGTGCAGGAAACTTTCAGACGCTCAGAGACGGAGGAGTTCTTAGACTGAGGAGACGAGCTGCAGGTAGAACAGATCATCTCTAGTCATTCATGTGACGGTGTTTTCTGCAGCAAATCTGGTTTTGTGTCTCAGTTTAGCTTCTAGTTGCATTGAAACATCTTTTAATTACTGTAGAGGCAGAAAACCAGAGTGAAGACCTGAATCTGGGCTTTTTCTTCTTTTTTCTGATCATTTATTCAACAAAAATCTATAAAGTCAAGTCAGTTTATGTAGAAAGCACATTTTAAAAGCAACATGAGTTGAACCAAAGTGCTGCACGGTGAAGAAATGAAATAAGAAAACAACACAATGATTAAAAGACGAGAGTAAATAAAATGAATAAACACAGTAAATCGTATTAATTTACA